TGTGTGTGTGCGCGTGCGTGTGTGTGTGTGTGTGTGTGTGTGTGTGGGGGGTGTATGGGTGTGTGCACGGCGGCGGAGACAATGTTTTATATTCTGCTGAAGTCCAGTTTAAGGCATTTAGCACAAATTATGTGGATTGTGGGTTAGGACCTGCAGATTTCGTTAAAGTATCCAGATATAAATAGGGCTAGCGCTAACCCTAACCCTGGGCCAAGCCTAACCCTTACCCATACCCCAACGCACAATACACATTGTGACGTCATAAGTGCAAGACTGTCTCCGATCTAACGTTCTCCATTCAGGAAACAGAGCACACTGTCGGTATGTATGACGTCACCATGTAATTGATGACGGAATAAAGACACCTCCTCCTCCTCAGTAATTTGATCCAGACTACAACCTGTCAATCAATCAACAACCACTGTGTCATGTGACAGGGTGTTTTTATCGGTAGGTGTAATTGAGACAGACGATGATTTTATGTGAATACCACTGACATAAATACAATTTATATGTCGCTTTTGTAATATAATATAAAATATATAAATAAAATATTTATGGTAAAAAATTATTGTGGAATTAATTTATTAAAAATAAATTATGGGAGATTAGATAAAGAACTGACAGTTCTCACTATAATAGTTAAATACTAGATAATGGAAAGGGAATTTGCTGAAAATTTCAGTCAAATTGATCCACTTCGAACCGAGAATTTAGCGATTTAATTTTGGGTCTAGCCCAACATAGTTTCGATTATCCAATTTTTGATTCAATCAGCAGCAGCAGATCGGGTTCTAATTCAGTAAATATCACAGGCTAGCGATGACCTGGAGAGTTGATTATAGTCTGGATAGGTTAATTAAAGTCTAATTAATAATTTAGATAACATTTCAGGCGTAAAGAAAGACCTGCAATTGGCAGATTTAGCGCTTGCACAATGTGTGTTTAATTAGGTGTCCGCTTTTACATGGTGTATCTGGTTGTAGACCCATCACCCGACATAAATCCGACCCTTTTGGCGGATTGATTTTATTCCGCTTTTGGGTGTTGTTTATTTTAGACTGCTGATGCATCCTCCATATTATCATTACAAGGGCTGCTATCAGTTATTATGATTATAACTCTACGATTCAAGCTTGGTTGTTCTTCATGATTTTAACTCTACGATTCAAGCTGAGTTGTTCTTCATGATTATAACTCCACGATTCAAGCTGGGTTGTTCTTCAAGATTCATGGGTTGAATAACAATCCCAGGTGTTTCTTTTGCTGTGGGTTGATATTGTTATTTAAACTGCCGTGGCATACTAATTAGAATTATTACAAAGAAAAACGACAGTCTATTTTACTGAAAATGAACTCCCAAATCTTCTGTTGGTTGACATCTTTAGTTATGACTCCTGGGTCATCCCTTTTATTATCATAATAAATACGGGTATTACGAAAGAAGGGCATCACGAAAGAAGGGTATCACGAAAGAAGGACATCACGAAAGAAGGGTATCACGAAAGAAGAGCATCACGAAAAAAGGGTATCACGAAAGAAGTTTATAACGAAAGAAGAACATCACGAAAGAAGGGTATCACAAAAGAAGGACATGACGAAAGAAGGACATCACGAAAGAAGGGTATCACGAAAGAAGAGCATCACAAAAGAGGGTATCACAAAACAAGGACTTCACGAAAGAAGGGTATCACAAAAGAAGGACATCACGGAAGAAGGGTATCGCGAAAGAAGGGTATCACGAAAGAAGAGCATGACTAAAGAAGGGTATCACGATAGAAGAGCATCACGAAAGAAGGGCATCACAAAAGAAGGGCAACGTAACGTAATATCTCGAGGCGGCTACATGGAAGCATCCGCGATGCCGTATCGCCTGTGTATTCCCATTGCGAAATGACCTAATTAATTTCGGTTGTATTTGATGTGCATACAGACCCCCCCCTCCCCCCCCCCCCACACACACGCGCGCTCTTCTCTTTATGCATAGAAGAATCATTTGATTTAACAATGAATAACTTTATAAAAATAACGTTTGGTCCGATTCATACTAATTTTAAATAGCTAGAGTTACTTACCTTTATTTAGAAAAGTCACGCAGCTAAATCCAGAAATTCATTCGAAACATCGGGACAAGATGTGCAATCGGCAACACGAATAATTTTGAGATAATAATGATAATAATAATTAATATATATAAAGTTGTTTATAATTCTGTAATCAGACATAGACTCTTTATCTATGTCTATCAGTAAAAATAATTCCTAATACTGGTAGACATTGAAGATATATAAATTGGACAGTAGTATCCCTGGTTCACATGGAGAAATACGGTGTTATCCGAATGCAATAAAATGTAAACACGAAGGCCATTGACCTCTCAGCGTGTAACGGTCAATCGGATTCCTGACACTACTATTTAAAAATTATAAGTTAGTCAGAATGGCATGATACAAGGGAAATTGAAATGGTAGGTAAATTTTAACAGTAAGTGCCTGTGTAAACAATGTCTTGTTAGATTAAAATCTAGATATGAACTTTTGAATAATCAATACGGTATGGTAGGCGTAATTGGTATGGAAACAGCCGAAGACCGAAGATCCAATGAACCAATGACATTGCATGCTTATATAATTAAAAGCAAAATGTAGCCTACCGTATGCCAAATCTTTGAAGTTCTGTTTTTTGTTTTGGAAATTAAAACTTGGGCACCTCACACGTGTCATCCACCAGAAATGTTTCCTTCTTCTCTCAAACATGCTAAAGTTGTACCATTCTATAAATCTGGTGCTAAAAATGATCAAAGTAATTATAGGCCAATTTCTGATAACATTTATCATGCTATTAATAATAAACTGTATACAGGTATGGTATTTATTGATTTTCGCAAAGCCTTTGATTTAGTTAATCATAATCTTCTACTTCAAAAACTGAAATTATATGATTTATCTTATACTCTTATTAAATTGTTAACTTCCTATTTATATAATAGACAACAATGTACCAGTATTGGACAAACTTATTCTGCCCCTGCTATGATAACTCAAGGTGTTCCCCAAGGTTCAATCCTTGGTCCTTTGTTATTTAATTTATTTATTAATGATCTACCTTTACATTTACATGTTAATAATGATTTATTTGCTGATGATACTACTGTCTATTCCTCATCTTCTGATGTTACTTCATTAATTACCACACTGCAAAATGAAACTTCTATTATTCAAAATTGGTGTTCCACAAATGACATGGTAATTAATGAAACCAAAACTAAAACAATGAGTATTACACCTTCTTCAAGGCGTAAATTACTTTCAACAAAATTTCAAATTCACATAAATAATTCACCTTTAGAAAATGTCTCTACATTTAAACTTTTAGGCATCATTTTTGATGAAAATTTCACTTGGTCTCCCCATGTTGATCATTTATCTAAGCAGTTGCTTCCTACTGAAGTACTTAAATTGTTCTATTTTGCTCATATTCAATCTCATATTAATTATTGCTCCACTATTTGGGACTCTTGTTCAATTACATCTATATCTAAACTTGAGAGACTTCAAAAATTATCCTTTAAATTAATTTACAATAGACCTATCTCTGATCATTCCTTCTCATCTAATTATCAATTTTTATCTTCATCCTTAAATCTTTAAACTATTTATCAAAGACTTTTAATTAACAAATATATTTTTGTTTATAAAATCATCCATAAACTTTGTCCATCATATTTATATAATACTTTTCATTATAACACCACTCCATATTCATCTCTCAATAATAGACTTTCTATCTGTAGACCTAATAATGAAATATTTAAATGTAGTTTACAATATAGAGGTACAGCGCTTTGGAATTCTCTCCCATATTCACTTAAAAATATTAAAAATCTTCATTTATTTAAGAAAAATATCACTAGGCATGTTATATCTTCTTCTTAACCTGTAGCCTATATTTAATATATCAACTACTTACTACATATTACCTATATATTACTTTTAGTTTTGAAGTTAAACTATTTAGCTTATCAGTATATATTTGAATGTTTTGTGTGTGAGTATTTGTTAAGTGTCTTGTTCTGTTACTGTCTTTTTCATTTCTTTGTTATAAAGGGCACAATTGTAAACAGGCTTTAAGCCTAATTTTTCACCTTTAAAAATAAAGATATTATTATTATTATTATTATGAAACGCAAATTAAATTGTAATTGGGTTTTACGTCCTCTAACTCTGTCATTCAGTCAAGTGGCATGCTTCGATTCCCTGCATGTACGTGACAAAATCTAGGGTTTTCTCCGAGTTAGTCCCAAAATGACTAACTCTCCCTCTGTCTCCCTCACAGTTATTGGGAGTCGCTTGCAACTGGGCCAGGGCCAGGGTGAATTTAAACTCTACCTATTCGGCTGCACAAAGTATTTGTTTCGGAAAGCTAATCGTATAATATTGTTCTAAAATCAATTTACTCGCCTTGTTTTCTCTTAAAATTAATGTCTCATTTACTCATGTTATTGCTTCAATTTCGCTAAACTATTTTTATTTTTGATAGTTTATTTATATTTATGTACGTATCATATTTTTAATATTGTAAAGCATCTCTGAATACATCCGAAAGCAGAACGCTATATAATAATAATAATAATAATAATACACAATTTATTTAATGCCCTTAACGATAATAATTGAAATGGCTAGTCTGACATGTGGTTGTTTTAAATTTGCTAAACTTTTATTTTTTATATTTTTCATATTATTTAGTGCGATAATAAGATGGATAATATCTGAAATGGCTGATAAATGGAGGATAAAAAGTGAAATAGCTAGTGTGACATTAGGGAGAATAAAAAGTGAAATAGCTAAGGGGAATAATAAGTAAAATGGCTAGTCTGATATTAGGGAGGATAATAAGTGATGTGACACACTGTGTATCGATCCAGTGTAACACTTGTTTACAAGTTGGGTATATATAGGTCAATATATAGTATTAACTTGTATATCACTAGTGGTCACGGTTGATATTCTATACTACATACAGGTGATATATATATACACAGTTCTCAAGACGGTAAGCTAGGTTGCAGGTAAGATTACATACATATTGTCTGTTTTATAATAATACAGGTGTAAATTACCTGGTTGTCAAGACGACACAGGAACTGTTATAATACACAATAAACATAGAATTAGGTAATATGTACATGCGCTTTATGGTCAGAAGTTATGTAAGTGTCATTTGAGTCAAGTTTCTTTTCGATCGCACTGATCACAGGCTTGTACCAGTACGGTACTCTTTAATTTCAGTATTTCGCTTGTGTGTAGCGGTCTAGAGCAGCGGAAACCGGAGTAACCCACGAGGTTAGGCAGGCGATCCTACTCCTTCGCCCCTGAGTCCTTGTCTAAAAGCTTGGAATCGAACCCATGCCACTTGATTCAATGACAGACCTTATGGTCTAAATTAAACGTGTTAGACGACGTTGAATTATTACATTATGTATGATAATACAAAATTAGTGTTAATTATCATCAAACAGTTTAGAATTCACCCAATTTACTTGTTTTATTACAAAGAAACTCAAGTTTACACATAAACAACTGGATTTTTGATTTCTGACCCAGAAATGTTCATTAATTAAACTGACCCAAATATAAAAATACACACTTAAATGTTTTGGGTTTTTTTCTAAATGACACTCCTTCGTTCTTCGCCCAACAATTGAGATAATAAAATTTGCTTTTTGGACTATGATGATACTTCCATTATTGTGGTGCAGTGATTAGGGCGCTGGATTAATAACCGAGGGGTACCTGGTTCGATCATGGTTTTTCGTGGTTCCCCTTATCAATGGTGTATGACGAAAGGTCTGAAAAGGAACAGCGCCTAGTCACTCGTATAGGACAGAACAACTAAATCCCACGTAAAATACCATAGGATGCTTGATAATTGGAATTCGACATGGCTGAAAGACCACTGCACGGGCACAAAATGTCCCTTAAATTACACTGGACTGGAGGGCTTATCCCGGTTGGTTCAGACCTATGATATTTCATTTCAACGTAATAATAGGTTAGTTAAAAGACAATAATAGCTGTGTTTACTATGAGGTGTATAGACGGTGTTGTAGATTGAATAATAAGATCAGATAGCCTATATAAGATATACAGTGTTGTATAATAAAACTAGATACGGTAGATTGCCTACACGTTAATATATCAGTCATAGGCCTATTCATGTTTATATATTAAAATATACCAGCCCATATGTTTATATTAAAATATACCAATAGTCATAAATATAATATGTTACATGAATAACCCGAAGAGGCGCGGTGACTCATTGAGTTAGACATTGGCTCGTTAACTTGGATGTTCCCCTTTGTCAGTGACGTAGAACAAAGGGCCTGTATAGAGGTCATGTGTACACATTGGAATTCGATATAAGAGTAGGCATTATCACCGCTGCACGGGCAAAATTTCCCTCATAGCACACTGTATGACGTATGCCCGTCTTCATTAACTCAAGTTCAGAGCAGAACAGTAAGACGTTAAACCCCATTCCATTTCATTTTCATTCTGTAAGATTTAAACCCGTTCCCCCTTATTAATTTGTCTGGCATTATAAGGTACAGTTGTTTAACTTTCAGCTTTGATTGGACAATTATCACTGTGTATATTATACAGGAATGGATAAATCGAAAGATCCCGACAGAAACAGATGTGTGAAGAATAATAACATCAATGTTAAAACAACAGATACGGTGATAACATGTTATTCAAATGGTGTTAAAACGGTCTCCAATATTCTGTAAGTAGGCCAATACTGGAATAAAATGGGGTTTAACGTCGTGTCCGCATGTTTGTCTTCAAGGGATCGTAAATTGTAAATTTATTGAATCATTTTATTTTCAAATCATTTAAATCTCAAGTTCTGTCGTCACGTGCGTCTTGAAATGTTTATGGTGCACTTGGACCAATACCAACTCTTTCATCTGAGCTTTACGGTCTCTGATCTGCTGAGAAATCAGATTATATTTGCGTAACCGATATTTCATCTGGCGTAATACGACATTCGGTCGTAGGTTTTAGATCTGTCGCTATTGCACGCAACGGATTGGTGTCGTTCGTTTGAAATACCGCGGCTGGAGTAAGTCCAAAAATCTCTCCCAAGATTAAAATCGGCCTTCTTAGAAATAATCTAAAATTGAATCTCGGTCAAAATATTGGTAAACATTTCCAGTTATGGATAAATACCAATGTACGCTGATAACACAATTATATAATTAACGATCGATACATAATGTAATCGATAAGAAAACCGCGGTGGGTCAGTGGGTTGGACGCTGTTCGATCTTTCGACATTCTTTCCCCTTGTCAATGGTGCGGGATGGAGGGCCTGACAAGGATCAGCGTCAAGTCATTGCTGTGCAAAAGAACCCGTGGCAGTGCAAAAGAACCTGTAATTCAATATAAGAGTGGGCCGTAGTGTCGCTAACCTGTCAAAATTTCTCTCGTAGCACACTGAATGTCATACTTTATGCCCGTCTTCATTAGCTACAATAAAGCAGAAATATAGGACGCTAAACCCCATTTCATTTAATTTTGTTATCGGCTCATCTCCCCATTATTGTTATTATTTGATAGAAATAACCAAGTGTATGACTATTGTTATTATTTGATAGAAGTGACCAAGTGTATGACTATTGTTATTATTTGATAGAAGTGACCAAGTGTATGACTATTGTTATTATTTGATAGAAATGACCAAGTGTATACGAATGGTGATTATAAGGAAATCAAAATCCAGGATGAAAGAGATTCGTGTAAAAAGGAAGAAGAGGAACCCAGGAAGAAACTGGATTCAGAAGTTGGACGATTTGTAGAGGTGAACTATTTGTTTTTTATTCGCTCTACAGGTAACATTGATATATGTTCAGAGACGAACAATCCTATTGAATTTTAACAGTGGTTTGGAAAATCCCTTTCAGAGTTGGAGAAACGGTGATTAAGTGAGTAAGACGCTGGCTCGCTAGTCTGGAGGTCGCGGGTTCGATCCCGGTATTGTCCGAGAAAGTTGATCGGGTGAAGGACAGAGGACCTGGCAAGGACATCTGCCTAGTTGTTCGGATAGGACAAAAAACAGAAGTCCCGTATACACGTTGGAAATTGGAATTCGATATAAGAGTAGGCTGCAGCGCCGCTGTCTAGGCAGAATTTTCCTCATAGCACACTGTATGGCGTATACCCATCAGCCCAGTCGGAGTAGAACAGTAAACCCCATTGATATATGAACACTTAAAAGGGCATTATGGAGGATTAGATAAAGAATTGGCTGTTCTCGCTATAATAGTGAAAAAAATAGATAACGTAAATAGAATATGCTGAAAATTTCAGTCAAATTGCTCCACTCTGAACCATGATATTAGCTTTTGAATTTTAGACTAGTCTCGATCATCATTACTAAAGTCGGTACTATAAAAGACAAAGTCTCGATTATCCATTTTTACGTTTAATTATTTTAAAAATATGTATTCCAATCCGCTAAATATCACACGCCAGCGATGCCATCTAGAGTTGATTATGGTCTGGATAAGTTTATTAATGCCTAATTATTAATTTATACAACATTTAAGGCCTAAAGAAAAACCTGCAATAGGCAGATTTACCTCTTTCATAATATTTTCAGACTTTGAATTGAATTATCTCTAATAATAATAATATGTAATAATTATGTAAGATTTAGATAAAGAGCTGAATGTTCTTGCTATAACAGGTTATATTTTAAGAATTATTAAAGAAGGTTCTTGCTATAACAGGTTATATTTTATTAGCTATTAAAGAACGTTCTTGCTATAACAGGTTATATTTTAAGAATTATTAAACTGTATATTGTATTAGTTATTAAAGAACGTTCTTGCTATAACAGGTTATATTTTATTAGTTATTAAAGAAGAAAAGTATACAAGAGAAATTGGTGTATGTGATATCTCTAACCACTATAGTTATACTGGTTCACGGTCTCTTCTCTGTTCAATGGTTATTACCATATTATTATACCATTACTACACCTATTCTACTACTCATCAGAATTATCATATATTGGTAAGTCTAGAACACTTCGTACCACCTCTAATATATTATAACACCATTACTACACCTATTCTACTACTCATCAGAATTATCATATATTGGTAAGTCTAGAACACTTCGTACCACCTCTAATATATTATTATACCACTACTACACCCGTTGGTTTAACCCCCATTCGGCACAAACCAGGTAATTTCGGTTTAATTTTATTTCTATTATTCTATAGGAGTATTAAGCATATGGATGAAATATATCGTGTTTTACACAAAATAAGCTGGATCAAGCCTATTTTTGTAGCTTCCTCTGGCAAGTTTCGTAGGAAACACTTGTCTACGATATCACCTTTGGTGGAAGTGGACGTAAAACTACAGGAACCAACGAACGAACAGGAGGACCCGGAGAAAATCCACGAGATTGGCCAGGCAACCTTACTCCTTGTCACATACAAGCGTGGGAATCGAAACCACGCCACTTGACTCAATGACAGACCTTATGGTTTCACGCACACGCGTTAAACGACTAGACCCCACAATCTCCCACCCCACATAAGAGTCATGGTTAATATTTGTAAATTATAAAACTGTAGATATTTTTTACCCTGTTCGTTCTAGACTGTACAAAAGACAGATTATTTCTGAGCTTCATCAGATAAAGGCGACATCTTGTTTGTGTTTTCTGGAATCATTCCGGAGTTATTTCCCTTCCCTTGTAATATTGATAGTAAAAATGATATGACAGCTCATGTAGTCTACAACTTAATAGTTGTTCGAATGGGAAGAAAAATCGAGGTCCCGTGTACACATTGGCGTGCACGTAAAAGATCCCTTGACAATTCCCTTTATAGCACACTGTACAGTGGGGCGTTAAACCCCATTTCATTTCATTTTCTATTATAAGGTTCCAGAGAAATATATTTATCCCTTTTAAATGAGAGTTTTATATGTATATGTTTATTTTCAGGGGTTATAAATGGCAATATTTTTTGATAGATTTCTGTTACTATGGAAACATAATGTGGTATTCCTTTATATGGTGAGTACAGGGAAAAGGTTTTTATAGAAACTTCTCTTATTATTTCTGTTTATGAAATGAAATGGAGTTTAACGTCCTACTGTTCTTCACCGACTGGGTCAAGGAAGACGGACATACACCTGAGGGAAATTTTGTCCTGACAGCGTTGCTACGTCCTACTCGTACTACGATTTCCAACTGCCAAGGAATCTTTTACCTACACGCCAATATGTACACGGGACCTTGGTATTTCTTCCAATACGAACAACTATACGCTATATATCACCGTTACACAAAAATGAAGGTTGAGTTCGAATCGAAAGGAAACTGCCCGATACAATGACCGCTCCTTGTACGCAAATTGTGTAAAAGTATGTAATACGAAGGTTGTGGACCCTCTAGAGATCAAAATTTTAAAAAGATTTTGATGAACCTTAAAATATCTTTATATCACAAAGCAAAATCTCAGTCACTTTCCATATTCGCGCATTTCGGAACATAACTTCCCGGATTATTGCTTCTGATTGTACTAAAAAATAGCTTGTTCTTTATCCATCTCTTGCACACCTGAGGACTACTAGAACTAGTACCGGAAAGGGGACAATCCATTTTTCTCTGCCTGCATAAAGCCTGTCGTGCTCTGTCTTTCCTCCTTTTTTCATCTATTATTAGTTTTCTGTTTCTTTCACTTTCATTTTCTAACTCTGTCGTAAGTTTTAGCCTGTGATTCCTGGAATATTCAGCAATTCTAGCCTTGTATTTCGAATATTCTCCACTTTTCTTCAGTTTGTCTCGACGTCGTTTTTGGCGTTCTGCAGCTGTCAGTGACATCCTGGAAATAAAACAAGAAATTAGTTTTAGAACGAAAACATGACACAAGCAGTATAACAAATTAAATTACTGTTCTATAGTTGCTAAAAGAAAGGTTAAGTTGAACAATTAGCGTGACTCGGTAGAACAATTAGCGTGACTCGCGTGACACGACTTTAAGTAGTTTTTTTGCAATGGAAAAAAGAGATAGCATTACAAAAATGCATTCAGATATTCAGCTTCGTATGCTTATTTATCATTAATATTTGTCAAATAATAAAGTTATTTTAAAAGGTGCTATAAAAGAAATATACTCACTTTTGTGACTCGTGTGACCATCGAAATTAGGTTGTTTTCGGATGCAGAAAAATTGGGGATCAGGTTCACTCATCGACAGATTTCTTGAACTGAGTGGACAATGACCTTTTTGATCTTGTTTGGTCAAAATTGACCCAAATTATAATAGAATATTCCAGGGATAATTCATTTTTATTCCATAATATCATGTTTATGTCATACTTACCATTTGAGGTCAAGGACTGCAGGTGGCCAATATTTATAGAAAATGTTATTATTATAGGATGATATATTGCATAATTTAAGGGGGTGATATTAGAATACAAATGATGTTGGAAAAACAAAATAATTTTGTGATTTTAATTTTTGATTTGATGTTCTGATAGTGTGGAATGGCTGATATCGATCCAGTGTAACACTTGTTTACAAGTTGGGTATATATAGGTCAATATATAGTGTAAACTTGTATATCACTAGTGGTCACGGTTGATATTCTATACTACATACAGGTGATATATATATACACAGTTCTCAAGATGGTAAGCTAGGTTGCAGGTAAGATTACATACATATTGTCTGTTTCATAATAATACAGGTGTAAATTATCTGGTTGTCAAGACGACACAGGAACTGTCATAATACTAAATAAACATAGAATTAGGTAATATGTACATGCGCTTTATGGTTAAAAGTTATGTCAGTGTCATTTGAGTCAAGTTTCTTTTCGATCGCAGGCTTGTACCAGTATGGTACTCTTTAATTTCAGTCTCGAACAGCGGACACCGGAGAAAACCCACGAGGTTAGACAGGCGATCCTACTCCTTCGCCCCGAGCCCTTTACTGAAAGCTTGGACTCGAAACCAGGAAATTTGACAGATAAACAGTTTAGAATTCACTCAATTCACTTTTATTATTACGAAGAAACTGAAGTTTTGACAGAGAAATGTTAATTAATTGTACTGAACCAAATATAAAAAAGACGCTTATTTTTTTAAATGACACTCATTCTAATTAAAAACACTTATATGGATATACTACTTCTGAATTTATTAACATGCTACGTTTTTAATTTGTGAAATCTACCTCTTTATGTCTTATAAGGATGACACTCATTCTTTCTTCAGCAACAAATGATATACTAAAATTTGCTCTTTGGACTATGATGATACTTTCATTATTGTGGCGTAGTGAGTAGGGCACTGGCTTAATAAGCGATGGATCCCGGGTTCGATCCTGGTTTTTCGTGGTTCCCCTTATCAAATGGTGTATGACGGAAGGGCTGACAAGGAACAGTGTCTAGTCACTCGTATAGGACGGAAAATCTAAATCCCATGTAAAATAGGATCCTTGATAATTGGAATTCGACATGGCGGAAAGACCACTGCCCGGGCAAAAAGTCCCTTGAATTACACTGGAGGGCTTATCCAGGTTGGTTCAGACGTTAAACCCCATTTCATTTCAACGTAATAATAGATTAGTTAAACGACAATAATAGCGTTGTTTATACACATCATTGTAGATTGAATAATAAAATGAGGTAGCCTTTAGAAGTTGGCTCGCTAACCCGGAGGTTCCCTTTGTGACTTGTCAGTGACGCAGAACAGAGGGCCTGTATAGTCGTTCGGATGGAACGAAAAACAGGTCCGGTGTACACATTGGAGTGACCGTAAAAGATCCCTTGGCAGTTCGAATTCGATATAAGAGTATAGGCATTATCACCGCTGTACGAGCAAAATTTCCCTCATAGCCCACTGTATGACGTATGCCCGTCTTCATTAGCCCAGTCGGAGCAGAACCGTTGACAGTTGGAAATCGGTAAAAACGTCACCGTCACACAGCACGTGACGTATGCCCATCTTCAAGTAGGGGAGTGGAAGAAATGGGGTTTAACGTCCACTCGACACAAACTAGGTCATTACAGGACTAACATATTCAATTTTATATCAATAATTCGCGTGCGCGTGGGGTTCTTTAGCAATGGGAGAACACCGGGGGACTAGGAGAATTTCCACGAGGTTGGACAGGCGACCCTACTCTTTGTCACGTACAAGCGGGCAATCGAAACCACGCCACTTGACTAAAAATCCGTCTCCCCACCCCAGCCCTCAATCCCCCTTTTCAAATAATATGTCAAACTACATTTAATTTTAGTTCATGAAATTGAAAGATTCAAAACCGTCCCACCTTATGTATTTGTCTGTCATTGTCGTCTAACTTTCAGCTTTGATAGTATAATTATCAGTGTGTATATTATACAGGAATGGATGAATCAAAAGATCCCGACAGAAACAGATGTGTGAAGAATAATATTACTAATGTTAAAACAACAGATACGTTGATAACATGGAACTCAAATGGTGTTAAAACAACAGATACGTTGATAACATGGAACTCAAATGGTGTTAAAACAACAGATACGTTGATAACATGTAACTCAAATGGTGTTAAAACAACAGATACGGTGATAACATGTAACTCAAATGGTGTTAAAACAACAGATACAGTGATAACATGTAACTCAAATGGTGTTAAAACAACAGATACAGTGATAACATGTAACTCAAATGGTGTTAAAACAACAGATACAGTGATAACATGTAACTCAAATGGTGTTAAAACAACAGATACAGTGATAACATGTAACTCAAATGGTGTTAAAACAACAGATACAGTGATAACATGTAACTCAAATGGTGTTAAAACAACAGATACAGTGATAACATGTAACTCAAATGGTGTTAAAACAACAGATACGGTGATAACATGTAACTCAAATGTAGTTAAAACAGTCTCCAATATTCTGTAAGTATACTGGGCCCTTATTCACGAAAACTTACAACCGAAATTTTAAGAAATACTGCAACTTCATTGGATATAGGCAAATTGATTTTACTGGTCAGCCAATCGAATTGCAGTATTTCTTAAAATTTCGATTGTATCTTAGTTTAAGTTTTCGTGAATAAGGGCCCTGGAATAAAATGGCGTTTAACGTCGTGTCCGCATGTTTGTCTTATTATTGAACAATTTATTTTCAAATCATTTAAATCTCAAGTTCTGCCACCACGTGCGTCTTGAAATGTTTATGGTTCACTTTGGATAAATACAGACGCTTTCATCTGAGCTGCGCAGAAATCAGATTATATTTGCGTAACCGTTACTTAATCTTGCGTAATACGACATTCGGTCGTAAGTTTTAGATCTGTCGCTACCACACGCAACGGATTGGTGTCGTTCGTTTGAAATAACGCGGCTGGTGTCCAAAAACCTCTCACAAGATTAAAATCGGTCTTCTTAGAAATTATGTAAAATTGAATCTCGATCCAAATATTGGTAAACATGTCCAGTTATGGACAAATACCAATGTACGCCGATAACCCAATTATATAATTATCGATCGATATATAATGTAATCGACAAGAAAACCGCGCTGGCTCAGTGGGTTGGACGCTGTTCGATCTTTCGACATTCTTTCCCCTTGTCAATGGTGCGGGATGGAGGGCCTGACAAGGATCAGCGGCAAGTCATTGTTGTGCAAAAGAACCCGTGGCAGTGCAAAAGAACTTGTAATTCAATATAAAAGTAGGCCGTAGTGTCGCTAACCGGTCCAAATTTCTCTCATAGCATACTGAATGTCATACTTTATGCCCGTCTTCATTAGCTACAATAAAGCAGAAATATAGGACGCTAAACCCCATTTCATTTAATTTTGTCATCGGCTCATCTCCCCATTATTGTTATTATTTGATAGAAATGACCAAGTGTATGACTATTGTTATTATTTGATAGAAGTGACCAAATGTATGACTATTGTTATTATTTGATAGAAATGACCAAGTGTATACGAATGGTGATTATAAGGAAATCAAAATCCAGGATGAAAGAGATTCGTGTAAAAAGGAAGAAGAGGAACCCAGGAAGAAACTGGATTCAGAAGTTGGACGATTTGTAGAGGTGAAATATTTGTTTTTTATTCGCTCTACAGGTAACATTGATATATGTTGAGAGACGAACAATCCTATTGAATTTTAACAGTGGTTTGTAAAATACCTTTCAGAGTTGGAGACAAGGTGACTAAGTATGTAAGACGCTGGATCGCTAGTCTGGAGGTTGCGGGTTCGATCCCGGTATTGGCGGAGAAAGTCCATCGGGATTTTCCGGCTTGGCTTCTCTTTGTCAGTGGTGCAGGACGGAGGGCCTGACAAGGAAAGCTGTCTAGTATACACATTGACATGAACCTAAAAGATACCTTGGCAGTTGGAATTCGAAGGCCGTAGCTAGTGTCGCTGTCTGGGCCTATGCTCGTCTTCTTTAGCCCAGTCGGAGCAGAACAGTAGGACGTTAAACCCAAATTTCATTTCATTTCATTTCCTTTCCTTTCAGAGAGGAGGCTTGGATGGCCGAATGATTAGCACGTGCGCGCTGTATCATAAAGCCTGTCATTGAGTCAACTGGCTTGGTTTAGAATCCCCGGTTGTACGTGACAAGGAGTAGGGTCGCCTGTCCAACCTCGTGAGTTTTCTTCTCCGGTTTCCTCCCACTGCTAAAGACCCCTACGCGCAAGCGAATTATTGAAATAAAAAAATTAAACCATATGTTGATCCCGAAATGACCTAGTTTGTGTCGAATGGACGTTAACCCCCCCCCCTCTCTCTCTCTCTCTCTCTCTCTCTCCTTTCAGAGTTAACTAACCCTGAATAACATTATCAGCCTTATATTGATATGAACAGTTTAGACATTATGGGCTACTTTCAGACTTTGAATTGAATTATCTCTAATAATAATAATATGTAATAATTATTTAAGATTTAGATAAAGAGCTGAACGTTCTTGCTATAACAGGTTTTATTTTATTAGCTATTAAAGAACGTTCTTGCTATAACAGGTTATATTTTATTAGTTATTAAAGAAGAAACGTATACAAGAGAAATTGGTGTATGTGATATCTCTAACCACTATAGTTATACTGGTTCACGGTCTCTTCTCTGTTCAATGGTTATTACCATATTATTATACCATTACTACACCTATTCTACTACTCATCAGAATTATCATATATTGGTAAGTCTAGAACACTTCGTACCACCTCTAATATATTATTATACCATTACTACACCCGTTGGTTTAACCTCCATTCGGCACAAACCAGGTAATTTCGGTTTAATTTTATTTCTATTATTCTATAGGAGTATTAAGCATATGGATGAAATATATCGTGTTTTACACAAAATAAGCTGGATCAAGCCTATTTTTGTGGCTTCCTCTGGCAAGTTTCTTAGGAAACACTTGTCTACGATATCACCCTTGGTGGAAGTGGACGTAAAACTACAGGAACCAACGAACGAACAGGAGGACCAGGAGAAAATCCGCGAGATCCGCCAGGCAACCTTACTCGTTGTCACATACAAGCGTGGAAATCGAAACCACGCCACTTGAGTCAATGACAGACCTTATGGTTTCACGCACACGCGTTAAACGACTAGCCCACACACTCCCCCACCCCACATAAGAATCGTGATTAATATTTGTAAACTATAAAACTGTAGATATTTTTTACCATGGTCATTCTAGACTGTACAATAGACAGATTATTTCTGAGCTTCGTCAAATTCAAGGATGAGATAGGCGAGCCACGGTGGCTAGTTGGGTTAGACGCTGGCTCGCTAGCCTGGAGGTCGGGTGTTCGATCCCTGCATTGGCCGAGAAACTTCATCGGGATTTTCCGACGTGGTTTCCCCTTGTCAGTGGTGCAGAAAGGAGGGCCTGACAAGGACAGCTGTCTAGTCCTTCGGATGAGACGAAAAACCGAGGTCCCGTGTATAAATTGGAATGCACGTAAAAGATCCATTGGCAGTTGGAATTCGATATAATAGTAGGCGATAGTGCTGCTGCTCGGGCAAAATTTCCCTCATAGCACACTGTATGGCGTATGCCCGTCTTCATTAGCCCAGAACAGTAGGCGCTGAACAGTAGGACGTTAAACCCCATTTCCTTTCATTTCTTTGTTTGTCTTTTCAGGAATCATTCCGGAGTTATTTCCCTTTCCTTGTAATATTGATAGTAAAAATGAAATGACAGCTCATGTAGTGCACAACTTAATAGTCGTTCGAATGGGAAGAAAAACCGAGGTCCCGTGTACAAATTGGCGTGCACGTAAAAGAACCCGTGACACTTTCCTTCATAGCACACTGTACAGGACGTTAAACCCCATTTCATTTCATTTTATAGTATAAGGTTCCAGAGAAATATATTTATCCCCTTTTAAATGAGAGTTTTATATGTATATGTTTATTTTCAGGGGTTATAAATGGCAATATTTTTTGATAGATTTCTGTTACTATGGAAACATAATGTGGTATTCCTTTATATGGTGAGTACAGGGAAAAGGTTTTTTTATAGAAACTTCTCTTATTATTTCTGTTTATGAAATTGTAATACATGAAATGAAATGGAGTTTAACGTCCTACTGTTCTTCACCGACTGGGTCAAGGAAGACGGACATACACCTGAGGGAAATTTTGTCCTGACAACGTTGCTACGTCCTACTCGTACTACGATTTCCAACTGCCAAGGAATCTTTTACCTACACGCCAATATGTACACGGGACCTTGGTTTTTCTTCCAATACGAACAACTATACGCTATATATCACCGTTACACAAAAATGAAGGTTGAGTTCGAATCGAAAGGAAACTGCCCGATACAATGACCGCTCCTTGTACGCAAATTGTGTAAAAGTATGTAATACGAAGGTTGTGGACCCTCTAGAGATCAAAATTTTAAAAAGATTTTGATGAACCTTAAAATATCTTTATATCACAAAGCAAAATCTCAGTCACTTTCCATATTCGCGCATTTCGGAACATAACTTCCCGGATTATTGCTTCTGATTGTACTAAAAAATAGCTTGTTCTTTATCCATCTCTTGCACACCGTGGGCGTATCTTGGCTGGCAACCGCTGGTTGGATGACATTTTATTATTGAACATAATATAGCTGTTTATTATTTGTTTCAGGATGGCACCACATTAAGCTGAACTGTTTATTATCTGTTTCAGGGTGGCACCACATCAAGCTGAATGATTTATTGTAGTGTTTGCGTTGGCTAATGGACCCATGGTGTGGGCGATGGTAGTATTCAGGAATTCTTTAGTTTTACACTGTATCGATAAAACTACCTCGGTTTATATCCATCTATTACCAGCTCTACTCTCTTTTGTGTAAGTAACATCCAGTATCACTTCTCTTTCGTGTAAGTAACACTCAATATCACTTCTCTTCCTTGTAAGTAACACTCAGTACCTCTTCTCTTTCGCGTGAGTAACACCCAGTATCGCTTCTTTTCTGTGTAAATAATACTGAGTATCACTTCTTCGTGTAAGTAACACTCAGTATCACTTCTTCGTGTAAGTAACACCCAATATCACTTCTCTTTTGTGTAAGTAACACTCAGTATCACTTCTCCTTCGTGTAAGCCTCGTGGAAGCCGCGGTGACTCAGTGACTAAACGTTTCATTATCCTTGAAGTCCCGTGTTCATTCCCATTATTGACCTAGAAAGTTCAAGGTTCCCCCCTTGTCAGCGGTGGAGTAGGATAAAGGGTTTGACAAGGGACAATTTATAGGACCCCCAGACTACTGAAATAGCCGTAAAATGAACGCTGGGGTTCTGACAAGGCCGTGGGACCTCGGGGAAATTGACAAGGCCGTAGAATAAACTCCTGGAGTCCTGACAGGGCCGTAGAATAAACTCCCGGAATCATTTACCAGAGTTTGTTTGTATCTAGAGAGAGAGAGAGAGAGAGAGAGAGAGGGGGAGGGAGGAGGGAGGGAGAGAGAGAGAGAGAGAGAGAGAGAAAGGGAGGAAGGGAGAGAGAGAGGGTGGCTACAGTGATTTGGACATCGTATATTCGTTCGGATGGGACAAAAACCACGATCTCGTGTACACATTAGGTGCATGTATAACAACCCTTGGTATTGAACGCGACATAAAAGTAGGTCGTAACTCTGGGAAAAATATCCCTCATAGCACAGTGTATCGCGTATTCCCGTCTTCTTTAGCCCAGTCGGAGCAGAATAGTATTTTATTGATAAATTATTCACTCAAGTTTACTGGCAAACCATCTTTTTACGGTTTCCTGATATTTGTGGAATATACTAGCACGGATATTTGTGGAATATATTTATACGTAGATTTGTGCACTATATATATTGAATATACTCGCGCGTATATCTGTGGAATAAATTTGTACGTAATGTCTATAATGTTTCCTATAAAATATTCCTGATAGTCATCAGGTGAAATGAAATAGACATAGATCAACTATGGATGACATTGCCGTTCATTGGTCTTGGTAAAGAATAAATGTGTTATCAACCAGCTTACCCTTTGTTTGCCACTCAGAACCGTTAGAAACCACGGTGGGTGAGTGAGTAATACGCTGGTTCACTGACCTCATTAGAGTTATCTCCCATATTTCAAATTCAGTAACCGACCGTTCTATATTTGCCCACAGTGCACGAATAACTTCTCCATTGCTAATTCTCGTCTCTAACTTTTCCCTAAATTTTTATTGGGTTGAACCCTTTCTACCAAAGATGGAGCAACATGTGTCAATCCCTTGTTTAAAACCAGATATGAACTTTACTATGGAAAACTTGACATACACAAACTGAAAGTAGCCATACTTTTAAACATGCAATGTCGGTCCTACATTTCAACTTGACCAAACTCTCGTATCCTTCCGCCCCAAAATCATGAATATTCACCAAAACCTGACAGACAATATAAAAATATATTCAAATCCTTTTCTTCGATTCTACACCAAAAAGTCTTTAAAAAATCATCATGCAACAGGTGAAAAGGAGGGAAAAGACTATAAATAACTTTTGCACTAAATTCATTGGTAATCAGCGTAGAAATGGGGTTTAACGTCCACTCGACACAAACTAGGTCAATTCGGGACTAACATATAGTTCAATTTTATTTCAATAATTCGCTTGCGCGTTACGACTTTAGCTGTAGGAGTAAACCGGAGGACCCAGAGAAAACCCACGATGTTGGAAAGGCGTCCCTGCGCCTTATCACATAAAAGCGGGGAATCGAAACCACGCCTTTGACTCAATGACAGACCTTATGATACAACGTGCACGCGTTAACCATTAGGCCATCCAACGACTCTAGGAATTAATGTAACCAGGTGGCCATTTTGATTTCACTGCCTAATAATAATAATAATTCTATTACAGTATTTTGTATTTTTCAGATGGCGATTGTTAATATATAATATATTCAACTGGTTGTTTTGTTTGATATGCTTTACCATGACAGTCATATGGTATAACTATTTTATCGCTCACTGTGTCTTTCTTGGCGCCATGTTTTTAATCGTGTCCTATAATGACGCCAGTTTTTATATGGACGTGTTCAGTGTCCGAGCAGAAATATTTAAATGAAAAACAAATTAACTAAAAAGTTCAAGTTTTAAAAAGAATGATTCACTGTTTGAAGTTGTTACCATGAACAAGTTAACTAAAGACAATAACCCAAAAAGTTCAAGTTTTAAAAATAGATTTCTGGTTGAAGCTTTTTAAAATCAATGACTTACTGATGGAAGCTGTTTGTAATCAATGACTTATTGATGGAAACAGTTTAAAATCAGTGGTTTGCTGATGGAAGCTGTTTAAAATCAGAGTCTTGCTGATGGATGTTGTTTAAAATCAGTCTTGCTGATGGATGTTGTTTAAAATCAGTGGCTTGTTGATGGAAGTTGTTTGGAATCAATGACTTACTGATAGAAGCTGTTTGAAATCAATGACTTTCTGTTGGAAGTTGTTAAAAAAAACCCAAGAACTTACTGTTGGAAGTTGTTTATCATACCACAGGTCGTCAGGCTAACAATGGCGGATCTAGATGTGGGTCTCTAACACCCACCCCGCTCACACTAAATAACAGTATACAAAATTACATTTATTAGTATGATTCTATGAAACGTGAAGTGTAAAAATTTGAAACTGTTTGTATGGCGATGTTGTAAATGATGAAATTTGAAATGTTTCTATGGCTATATTTTTGATGATGAAATTTGAACTGTTTCTATGGCGATGTTGTAGATGATGAAATTTGAACTGTTGCTATGGCAATGTTGTTGATTATAAAATTTGAAATGTGTGTTTGACGATGTTGTTGATGATGAAATTTGATATTAAATCTCGGAGTTGGACCTCCAAATCAAATACCCTGCCTCCGTCACTAACTAGGGGTAACCATGGGAAACTCTCCCTTTATTGTGCAATATATTTAGCGGTCGTATTTAAACGTACAGTGTAAACCCTCTTTAAGCGGACCATTTATACATATGCTTTAAGCGGACAGTATATACCTCTTTTAAACGGACAGTATAAACCTGATACTTGATGTTTTAAAGGAGCTATGGTTGAATCAAACCTGTCAGTCCATGTGTATTCTAGAGAAATCAATTGTTTAACTAAATTCCCTTAATGATTTATACCATAATAAACTGTTGAGTTGGTCTGTTTTGATGAGGAGCTCGGTGTTGGCAGAGAAAGTTGATCATGATTTAGAAAACTCTGTCATTTCTACTTCTATGTATACTAAACCATAAAACAGTTATTTCATTATATTCTGGTTCTTTTTTCGTTATGGTCTATTTTTTTTGTAAGATCTAGTTGTATTTTGTTAGTTTTTGTTTTCTCTGAACTCGTCTTAAGACGATTGCTAATATAAATCTGTATACCATTCATACACCTTTATCAGTGATGTGAAACATTTCTTCAAAACTGGTTGGATTAAGAAAAAGAAGGTATGTAACCATATTTGTATCTTTTATAAGTATCGATGTCTTATCTCGCATATTCAACGTGACCAGACAATAAAAAATTATATGTCATGCCGCAATATATATCATTATTAATATAATTAATATATTTTATGGGGGGGGGGGGGGGCGAATGGTTAGAACGTGCGTGCTGTATCATAAAGTTTGTCATTGAGTCAACTGGCGTGGTTTCGATCCCCTGGTTGTACGTGACAAGGAATAGGGTCGCCTGTCCGACCTCATGTCTTTTCTCCGGGTCCTCCGGTTTCCCCCCACGGCTACCTGTCCAAATTCTGGGTGTTGTCGGCTGTTGGTCAAATGAATAAGTAATTGTATTAAATGGAGTTGCTTCCCTTTATATTGATACCCCCCCCCCCCCCGATCTTTGACACTTTGGCTTTACACCATTGACACCACTACTGTTAGGTCATTTTAATTTCAACTATAATCGTTTGATTTACTGATAAACATATTTAAATATTAATTTATATTCTCGGGGTCGATATTCTGGTTTAGACGTAAACTCGACAATATAGTATACAGCAAACGTTTTACAAACTGGTGCATGAAGGACAACCCACTGAAAACTTGACATGTATAGGCCTATACTTTGACACGGATAGGCCTATACTTTGCAACATTCCTAAATCAGTAACAGCAACGACGTTTCGATTTTCAATAGTTATCAGGCGCTATTTTACAGCCGTTCATTGACGGAATCAGCCGTTCATATTGACAACTTAATAAAGCTTAGATCAAACAATTAGACTGATATAGACTATTCATATTGACAACTTAATGAAGCTTGATGGAAACAATGAGACTGGTATAGACGAAGTAGAACTTGTTATTTACATCTCTGATTGGAATAAATGAATGAATTGGTACTACACACATCCAGATAAATAAAGACGGACATGCTATGATGGACATTTTATCAGGACAACAATCAGATTACACCTGTCATGGTGAACACTGGACCTCTAATTTCCGTCCTATCCAAACGACTAGATATTGTTTCTTTCCAGGTCCTCCGCCATACGACACCGATATAATGGTTAGTGAGGCAGCGTGTCTACTTCTTTGAATTGATTATAGTTGGTGTATATATCAGCTTATTCTCATTTGATCCGACATTTTACTATATCGTTACGTCATCAAGACAGACACATATTTACATATTATTCATGTCGTTGTTGTCAGCTTTCTGTTCAACACCCACAATTCAAGTGAGATCGACATGATATTTGGCATGCTTGTTGATTAGACCATCACTTGTCGATATGACGTCACAATGCCAAGATGACGATAGTGACGTCATTAGAAGTAAGCAAATTTATTTGTCTCCAATACTAACACCACCCATCCATATGCATTACCCTCACCCACATACCCAAATAACCTCACCCACCCATATACCCCACCCACCCACATTCCCAAATAACCTCACCCAGAACATACCCACCGACACCCACCATGATATCCATATATACCCCCAGCCACCAACCTACATACTACACCCACCCACATACCCAAACACCATCACATACCCACACCCACCCACATAATCCACATACCCACACACCATCACATACCCACCCACCCCCAGATCGACATGGTTGGATTTGGTATTTTTGTGTAAAATATAAATATTTAATATTTTATTACTAGACTATATTTATACAGTATAATATCATACAAACTATATCATTACTTTATACAGTATAATATGTTCTAGTTAAATGTTTAATATTGTTTTATAGTTAGTATATATAGATAGAATTCAATGTTCAAGTTAAATGTTTAATATTGTTTTATAGTTAGTATATATGATTTAATATTTTATACACCATCAACAGACTAGAACCACCAACAGTTGACCCTATCTCTATCTTTTATATTAAAGTGTGATAATGAGAGATGTTTGTTGTGTTGTTTGTAGTGGTACTTGAACTGTTTATCATCATCACTGTAGATAGAATCAATATAACAAGCATACTTTAAAAGCTTCTTCTCCAGTATCATCTTCTCTAATTCATTCACTGTTTGATTTCTACTAATAATTATAGTCACATCTCCACACCAAGGACTGTAAATACAGGTAAATATATATTATAATACTTATATCATACAGGTAAATATATATTATAATACTTATATCATACAGGTAAATATATATTATAATACTTATACAGGTACTGTATATACAGGTAAACAGGACGTTGAAATAGTGGACCTGTTTTCCATGTACGTGTTTTCCATGTAAGTGGGTCTAATGCAGGTGTAATGGGAATGTTTGCAAATAATCGGAGAAATTGCGTACATGTAATACGAGTTTTACAGTGTTCAACTCTGATAAATATCTACTTGGACCATATTGAAATAACAGTCACCAGATGGGATAAATACCACGTGTGTGAAAACTGCTAACTGTTATATTAGTGACGTCATCTCTATTTGACGTCATCAATCGGGTGATGTTTTTGTTTAGTGTGGTTTCATCACTCATCTTGTATTGTGATATCAGTGTTTTAACTATAATATATAATTTTACATGTTTTATTTCTATCATCCAACTACTAATGGTTCTATTATAACAAGTTTAATATTCCTCATATGTCGTTTATTTTAAAAACAATCATTTCATCTACTATTATAAAATGTTTATTTACCTGGAATAGAAGAATATCTGGAGAGTAATCATTTCATCTGTCTTGTCTGAATTTTTATTATTAACGTCAGTTTCTTTTACCACTTTTTCATCTTCTAGAATCCTCACTCTCTCTGTCAGTTGGTTCATTCCACGCGTTAATGTCTCTATTTTATCGTCCCTAATAGCGAGTTCATATTTCATGGCGTCCACTTCTTCTTTTAGTTGATTAGTAAATTGGTGATCGACGACATTGTGATTACCAAGCTGTACATAACTGGTGCCGTTAAAATGATATGTAACAGGGTTGGTTTTAGTAGATTCTGACTGAAATATATAAAATATATATACAAATAATCACTGATAAATATCATTTAATAGATATATTTGATATGATAAATACCCCCCCCCCCCTCCAACTCTACTCCAATCAGGAACCGCGGTGATTCGGTGAGTAAGGCGCTGGTTTACTACCAGGAGGTCCGGGGTTCGATTCCGGTCTTGGTCGAGAAAGTTCTCATGAATTTTTCATTCGTGGTTTCTGTTATTACTCGTCTAGTCACTTGGATGGGACAAAAAACAACAACAGGGCCCATGTCCAGTTTGGCATGCACGTAAAAGAACCCTTGATGGTTGGAATTCGATATAAGAGTGGATCATAGTGCCGCTGTCCGGGAATAGTTTCCCTCATAGCACACTGTATATGGTGTATGTCTGTCTTTATAAGTCTGTTCGGTGAACCTTGACATTGATAACAGACATGTCAAATCTCACCAATCAATGTATCATGACTGCCAAACGATTGTGAGTTTCCTCCGGATCCTCCTGTTTTCTCCAAAGCGTAAGCAAATAATTGAAATGACCTAGTTTGTGCCGAGCGTACGTTAAGCACCACCCCTCTCTTCACTTTCCATATTAAAACAACGCAAAATTTTAACCTATAAATAAAATGAAATGGTGAAAACCCCGGTGGTCTCAATCCATTTGAAATTGTGTTTAATGGAGTTGTCTCCCATAACCCAATCTTCTTGAAACAAGGTCACATCATTTTCGAACCAAAATTAAGTCTTAAACATTTTGATGTTAAAATACTTTGATGGTTGTCAGTGGTTGTAATCAGGGGTCTGTTTCACGAAATTTTAACTATGATAAAATCTAAATTTTAGTAATTTGTTTGGATGATATTAGATTGATTTTAGTGCTTAGCCAATCAAAATTGAAGTATCTACTAAAATTTGGATTTTATCTTTAGTTAAAATTTCGTGAAACAGGGCCCAGGTGAAATAGACGAATGTCCTGCTCGTAGATGTCAGTTGATCTAGACGTAAAAACAACAATATGGCAGGCTTGATGTGACAGGTTTAAGTTCAAGATTTAAATAGATTTGATATATACAAACTTATATAATATCTATACAACTCACTTGATCAGACATATTGATCATCTTAATTATAATATAACAGTCTTCTACCGATGATTTGGGCAAGTTATGTCTCTAAAACAGGGGTCGGCGCGGGTCTAAATATATACGGAAATATTTGTTGTAGAATCCCCTTTTAGGAAAACCCGACTATTTATAGTAGCTGATTCAGGTATATTGTAGTCTAGGTTATCAAGTCACGTGTGTATATATATTAGCCAGTGTTATATTAAATAGACTCAATTATTAAGTCGATTACAGGGAAACCTTATCATCTGATACCCATTGTCGTGTAATTAGATATATACCCACTGCCTTGGCCAATAGCTCCTAATTTTAAAGCGAATAAAACTAGGTCTAACTGACATGACGCCCGGGTTAGTTGAATTATTTTGTGGGATAGAAATTTAAAATCCAACCGTACTGTGACCTGAACGTCGAGTTACAAAAGGTCAACGCACTAAATCATTACATCAAATACTGGACAATCAAACAGATTACTGATTAACCTGGACAACTAGAATAACCTCATATTCGGTAATATAATCATTTCAATATACTCACTTGATCAGACATATTGATGACGTAATGGGCGTGATCGATCACCTTATAACATAAATACACGACCTTCTTCACCGATGTTGAAGCGCTTTATGGCTCTAACAAGGGGCGAGACTTTCTGCAAACAATATTATTTTCTAGGAATCCCCGTTTAAATTGTATAAACCCATACACTATTTTTAGTAACTGACTCGGTATAGACTGGGTTAAACAAGTTTCAAGGTGGAGGTCGCCCTACAAACAATCGGGAAATATTTTATTATGAATTCCCGTTTGATAAATCCATTCAGTATCTTTAGTATCCCGTTACATATTCCTCGTATACCCCCCCCCCCCCTCCGCGTGCTAGAAATCTTTTTGGTGAGGTTTTAAATGGTTTAATTGGATCATATTTCACTACTTATGACCGAGATAAACACATTGGAGATTACCGAATTATATTTTTACAGGTCACCATAACCCCTAAAACCCTATAAGTAAACAATGTTGGCCTACACGAAGATATTTTTTTTATATAGTGCTCTTTCCCTGACATTCAACATGAAATGAGTTTAAATTTCATTTTAGGTGTTTTTTTTATTGTTCTGTTTTTTTTTTGTCTGTTATTTATATGAAAATAGTATAATTTATACTTGAATCATATGATAATATATAAGACAGTTACAAAGGGTTTTGTTTTGTGGGGTTTTGGGTGAATTTTGTTCTTGGGGTTGTAATTTGGGGCGTCATCTAATTGCTTAAATTGCCTTACAATAAAATAAACGGGTGGCCGTAGCTGTATTTTCAACGCTATGTAAAGAAATTGAATAGGAATTATTTTTGTGAATGATAGTATGTTAAAATTATGTGACCCGGGCCATTGGCAATAATATTATTATTCCAAATATATCTATATGTCGCAATAGATCTCACAACGTAGCTCTAATCAATGTTTGTTAATGTCGTCTTAAGTTAGGAGAGGGTGACGGCTGTCCCAAGTTAAAATTCGTTTTAGTTAAAATTGCCCCTAAAATAGTTTTGTGATACGCCACTATATTAAGTTAATATTAAATTATAACTTACAATATTACTTAATGCTTGAAACTTATCTATCTTAAGTTAGGATGATATTTTAGATTAAGACGATTTTAAGGACATTTAAGCTTTTGTGAAACAGGGTCTCGAGCTCTTCATCTTTCGTATATTTTCAATATCATCTTCCCGATATAAAAAAACAATAGCCAGACAATAAGGAGCTTTGTGCAATATTATTTCTAATTACATAAAAACTGATAAGATAATAATATCTTGATAAAAGTTATTATCTAGTTAAAAATAACTCTAACACTCACCCCTGGGTATTAAAAAAAATCTAAGTTCAAGTCACTTATTACAACACTGGTGTAAAACAGCAGACGACAAAAAGCGAATTTGATTAAAAGCTTTTAGATTTAGTTTTCAGGCTTCAAATGATGTTTTTGCCCATAGATATCCAAAACGTAAGACAAAGAAATTTTGATCGCAGACCTGCTCATTTACGAGAAATTTCAGTAAAGGAAATTTTAAACTGTTTTTGGGGGTTTCTTGATTACAATATGATTTAACGATTTAAAATCCATTCGACACAAACTAGGTCATTTCGACACAAACTAGGTCATTTCGACACAAACTAGGTCATTTCGAGACGAACATATAATTCAATTTTATTTACATTATTCGCTTGCGCCTAAGTCTTTAGGGGTCTTTAGCAGTGGCGGGAAATCGGAGGACCTGGAGAAAACCCATGAGGTTGGACAGGCGATCCTACTCCTTGTCACGTATAAGCGGAAAATCGAAAACCCAGTGGCAGACCTTTTGATGCAACGCGCATGCATAAACAATTCTCCTAGCTCGCATTGCGTCTGCGTGTGAATGTCTGCGTGGGTGTGTGTAATGGGGTTTAACGTCCACTCGACACAGACTAGGCCATTTCATGATTAACGTTAATCCATTTAACCAATATATGTGTGACATGAATATGTGCATGGCGACTAATATAATTGAATCTTTACTCAGGTAAAATTAATTCATTGACACATTGTAATTAAACTGGAAATAAACAGGTGATAATTCTCTGTTTATTACTGATCGACATTTCAACATTGTTTGACATCACCATAACTATATGACCTTCTACACATTGGCCAATAGGGCCTGTACATAATATTGAGTGTTTTATTTTAACCCGAATGAAACACTGGATTTAAATTTCGAGTTGCAAAATGTTAACATACTAATAGTAAGTGCAGGGGGGGGGGGGGGGTCTGCACCACACATCAGATACTGGTAATTCAAACAAATTACTGGTTAAATTGGTCAACTAGAATAACCTCATATTCTCTAATATAATCATTTCAATATACTCACTTGATCAGACATATTGATGACGTAATGGGCGTGATCGATTACTTTATAACACAAATACACGACCGTCTTTCACCGATGTTGAGGCGCCTTCTGGCTCTAACAAGGGACAAGGCCGCGCTACAAATAAGGAAATATTTTTTGAAGAATCCCCGTTAGTAGAAACCAACACACTATTTTTAGTAACTGACTCAGTATTATGAATGATTTAACAAGTTTCGAGTATGCGCTACAAATAAGGAAATATTTTTTGAAGAATCCCCGTTAGTAGAAACCAACACACTATTTTTAGTAACTGACTCAGTATTATGAATGATTTAACAAGTTTCGAGTATGCGCTACAAATAATATATATATTTTTTTAGGAACCCCCCTTTTGATAAACTCATAAACTATTTTAGTAGCTGATTCAGGTATGGTACATAGTCTTGAATAAACAGTAATTTAAAAAGTTGAATCTAGCCTTTATATGATAATCGATACTAGTGTCTATAATTATGTCTCAGTGGTGGTATAGTCTTGATTAAACAGTAATCTTAATGCAGTGCAAAGCCTTTATAGGATACTGGTGGAAATTAGTGTCTAGTATGTCCCAGTCTAGTCTTGATCAAGCAGCAACTTAAATCAGTAATGGAATCTAGCATGTATTATAGGGGCGTGACTGTCCACAACTGGGTAACTACAACCCCACCCAAGGCCCTGACACCCTGTAGCTACGTTGGATAATTATATTAATTGCTACATATTTAAAACACTTTTTTTGTATATATATGTTGATATAACATTGTATTAACGTTCATATATGTGATAAAACGGGACGGTTTGTGCAACATCTCCACCAGTTGTCATTCTACATGCAGTGGCGGATTATCAGTGAGGCTGATGAGGCTGCAGCCTCAGGCTCAAAGATTTTGTAAAAAAAATTTTTTTAGACTTGTCTGATACGATTAAAAACACATAGACAATGAATGTTAGGGGTTTGGGTTTAGGCCCAACGGGAATCAACATAGGCCCTGACCCGAAATTAATTAGGCCCACGCCATTTTAAATAGGCCCTATTTAAAAACTATATAGGCCCTCCAGCAACTGCGCCCTCAGGCCTTGGTGGAGCTAAATCCGCCACTGTCTACATGTATGGTGGTTTACCGCCCTCGCGTCGTCTGTTAACATTCTACATATATGGTGGCTTACCGCCCTCGCATCGTCTGTTAACATTATGGTGATTTATTGCCCTGGCGTTGTCTGTTAACATTCTACATGTATGATTTACCACCCTCGCATCGTCTGGTTCATTGTGGTATCGTTCATTTAATACCAAGTTGGAGATAATATGCTGTAGTTATATATATCACAAATAGAGCTAATTTTATGCAAAAACAACTAATGCAACTTCACGTCTCTTGTTTTACCTGGTTGGTTTCGTGTAAAGAAATGAAATGTATCTCAAAATTTACGACTGCGCATTTCTCCACGAGGGATAGAGGCCGTGAATTTCGTTTCTCGTCCACCCAACAATTTTAACTAAAATCAATTTTAAGGACATTAACAAACATTGATTATGACAAAGAATAATAATAATATTACCAATGGCCCGGGTCACATAATTGTAACATACCATCATACACAAAAAAACAACAATTCCCATTCAATTTATTTCCATAGCATGGGAAGTACAGCTACAGCCCTGGGCCCTGTTTCTCGAAATTTTAACTAAAGATAAAATCCAAATTTTAGTAGATACTTCAATTTTGATTGGATAAGCTCTAAAATCAACCTAAGATTATTCAAATTTTAGTATATTATCCAATCAAATAACTACAATTTGAATTTTATCTTAGTTAAATTTTCGTGAAACGGGCCCCTGCACCCGTTTATTTTATTGTAAGGCAATTTAAGCAATTAGATGACGCCCGAAATTACAACCCCAAGATAAAAAATCACCCAAGACCCCAACAAAATGCTTTGTAACTGTGTTATATATTACCATATGATTCAATAAACAACAACAACAAAAAATATCCTAAATGAAAATCTGAACTCACTTGATATCTAATGTCATGAAAAGAAGAGCACTTGTCTATAAAAATACATCTTTGTTTCCAATGGTTTAAAATGGTCAATTTCTTGGTATTATAGGGGTTTTGGGTTAATTTTGTCTGTAAAATTTTTCCGAATTCAATTAGCAATGGTTTGAATGTTTTCAGTCCAGCGTCGATTATATGGACACCCTACAATCTTATAGCCTTAGGTCTGACATTGTATGGACACTCTATGATCTTATAGCCTTAGGTCTGACATTGTATTGACACCCTATAATCTTATAGCCTTAGGTCTGACATTGTATGGACACCCTGTGATCTTATAGCCTTAGGTGTGACATTGTATGGACACCCTGTAATCTTATACCCATAGGTCTGACATTGTATGGATGCCCTGTGATGTTATACCCTGAGGTGTGACATTGTATGGACACCCTGTGGTTCTATACCCTTAGGTGTGACATTGTATGGACACCCTGTGATGTTATACCCTGAGGTGTGACATTGTATGGACACCTTGTGATGTTATACCCTGAGGTGGGACATTGTATGAACACCCTATCATCTTATAACCTTACACATGCCATCCCCATAACTATGACATTCTACCCATTGTAACGCTCTAGGGTTAGGGTTAGGGTTAAGGTTAGGATTAGCGCTAACCCAGATTACATCTCATGACCTTTGACCAAACTTGAAGTTGGCCTTATCAAATAGATGTAACCATCATTGAGCCATTCAAACAAATTACTGGTTAAATTGAACAACTAGAATAACCTCATATTCTCTAATATAATCATTTCAATATACTCACTTGATCAGACATATTGATGACGTAATGGGCTTGGTGGATTACTTTATAACACAAATACACGACCGTCTTTCACTGATGTTGAAGCGCCTTCTGGCTCTAACAAGGGACGAGGCCGTGCTACAAATAAGGAAATATTTTTTGAAGAATCCCCGTAAATAGAAACCCACACACTATTTATAGTAACTGACACATGTATATGTATGATTTAACAAGTTTCAAGGTCGAGCTACAAATAATAAGGAAATATTTGTTTTCTATGGTGGCTGATTGGTATCATGTCTAGATGTGGCCCTTCATAAGGCGACAACCTGACGTCACTAAATGTTAATATGACATCACGACATTTATACACATGAGCTTGTGTCTTTGTCCCATCTACTAAACTAGACACTTCGTCCTGAACTACCGACAAGAAAAACTACGCTGCAAAATCCCGGGGAACGTTCTTGACCAATACCAGGATCAGTGTATATAATCATACCGTATATACAGAGGAAGATGACCGCCAATCCCACAACACGACATCACGACATTTTAACACGACATTGCGACAATTTTAATGCCGTGATGTCGAGTTGTAGCGTTGTCGTGATTTCGGGTTAATATGTCGTGATGGCGCCTTATGAAGGGTGACATCACGACATGATACCAATCCGCCACCATAGTTTTTTTGAATCCGCGTTTGATAAACCCTTACAGTATTTATCGTAGCTGACTCAGTTATAGTCTTGTCTAAACAGTAATTTTAAAGCTGTACAAAGTCTTCATGAGATACACAAACATGTTTAATTCAAATGTATTTTAATATAAAGATAAAATAAATTTAAGAAAATCAAAAAATTAGCCTACATTTACATTTTTCACAGAACAACTCTCCAAATACAAATCTTGCAAAACATTTCTCTAAAAACATTTCTCCAAATACATTTCTCCAAAAACTATTTCTCGAAAGTCATCGAACCGGAACATTATGACGGCATGAGCGGAAATCAACCTGGCATACAATAAGTCACCAATTCAATAATGGGGAATCGAATCTAAGCATATGTACAATAAGAAAAATCACTCGATGACTGCGACTCTAGTGAAAACATGTCCGTAGTATGGTTAATCGGACCGGGCTTTCGATAAAGAAAATACATTGAAAGTAGTCTATTTTCAGAAATTATGTGTTGTCTGATAGCGACATATTTCTTTGCTCAAAGAGAGAGAGAGAGGGGGGGGGGGTCTGATTGGTTAGCACGTTACCATTAAGACTGTCATTGAGTCAACTGACGTGGTTTCGAATTCCCGGTTGTACGTGGCAAGGAGTAGGGTCGCCTGTCCGATTCTTGTGGGTTTTCTCCGGGTCCTCCGGTTTCCTCCCACTGCTAAAGACCCCTACGCGCAAGCGAATTATTGAAATAAAATCAAACCATGTGTTAGTCCCGAAATGACCTAGTGGAGCAATTGTTTAAACTATTAAACCACCATCCTCCATCATACTGGAGAAGACAATTTCTGTTGGCATCAGCGTCATTATCTCTGTCATAAGTACTGAAAGATGATCCATTTAAACCATTTAAAGTGTCGCCAAGAATATTAACATTAATCATTATGAAAATAAAATTACCTTGTGAGATTTTAAACTTTCTTAAAGTCAAAAGTTATTTATTAATAAAATATGATCAAACATAAAAGATAAGATACTATTTAATAATCCAATTTTTCTACGTATTATATTAGCATATTTCTATATCTTGTTCAGGATAAATAATTCTACTTACCTGTACACGATAAATAATTCTACTTACCTGTACATTGAGGGCATGTACTCCCTCTCTCTTGACAGTTTTAATTTGAGTTCCATCCACGTAGCAAAATGTTTTCAGGAATCCTAAATAAAAGTTATAGACTTATTTAAATTATTGTTATCAATTATTAATTACACACAAAAAAGGGAAATCTGAAGATTGTCGTGTGCCCCCCCCCCCCTTTCCCAAAACCTTATGAACTCGACAGAGACTTCGATTGTCTTTCAAATAAAATGTGAGGTAATGAGAGGACACACCTTATCGATAAACAAGAGTCCAGCTTTAAAAACTGTCCGGGGCAAGCCCTCGGAACTACATTCTGAGTCTCTAAATCCCCCTTCCCCCTCACCCAGGAATTCCGGTCCAACGAGTGTGTATACATTTGAACGTCTTCAGTTAAAACATCAAATTAATTAAATTAAATCACATTTAATGGACCATGAAACATGTAAAGAAAATATTTGACATAAATAAACGGAATGTTAATATGATTGACTTGTATTATTTATTTAATGACAATGGTATGTTCTATTGTATTAAATACACCAAATATTATTACACAGCTATATCGTTATACTCCATCAATAGATACATCCCTCTCTCTCCCTCTCTACATCTATATCTACCTTTATAAACCTTCTCAAATTTCACCTCTTTATATTATATATTATTAGTGGCCTACTTATTCAACAAGGACGTTACCTTTATTTACAGTATTATAATATATATTTACCTGTATGATATAAGTATTATAATATATATTTACCTGTATGATATAAGTATTATAATATATATTTACCTGTATTTACAGTGGTTGTGGGAATATGACTATAAGTATTAGTAGAAATAAAACAGTGGACGAATTAGTGAAGACGATACACGAGGAGTGGAGACGGAAGACTGGTAGATATTATGGTGATTATATTGGCTTTATCTTCAGTGTTGACCAAAACGAGTACATTATCAACAAACACAATAAACATCTTCCATTATCACATTTTAATATCGAAAGTGGAGATACATTCCACTGGTACAATCCTCTTTGATTAATTTAATGTGTGTGTGCATGGGGGAGAAAATGTTTTGTAATCTATTAAAGTCTGGTTTAGAACAATGCACTGAGAGGAGAGACTCAGAGAGCATACTGCCGGTATGTATGACGTCACCCTGGCGTGTAATTACTGACGGAAAAGAGAAGCCGTCTCCTTTATAATTTGCAAGTGTGTTCCTTAAAGTAAAATTTCCGTAACACCATTTTGACTCCCTACGTTGACAGTTGCAACAATACGATGGTCCTACTAATTAATATATATATATATATATATATATATATATATATATATATGTATTTTTTTTTTTGATTATAAATTGAGAATCAGTAATTTGTAATGGTAATAATATTTTAATAATAATATAATATGGTAATAATATAGCGAAAGAATTGTTAATTTTAAATATTGTTATATAGACTATTGTTTAACTGTTATGACATAAAAACATAGACAAAACTATTGTTGTTCCTGTTACGTATTTGATTTCGGTATGCTGAGAAAACACAACGTTGTAGTTCTAAAGGAGAGAGATACAGGCTAACAAAATAGACGATCAAGGCTAACAAAAGATATGTGGCGCGGTACACAGTTGCCCCAATATGAATTTCGGTCCGACTGACCCTAGAAATATTTGACTTTGGAAGCAGGTCAGTTAGATGCTTTGTGACCTCGTGGCCCGAAAAAGAAAACGTTTTAAAAATATCCCCCATCCTCCCTTCCTTTGCTCAATATTCGAAAATTTCGGGTCGGGTTATATGTCGGGTTATTGATTCTAATTGTCACAAAAATCCATATTATGTGTTTCTACCCAAACCCCACCACGCCCTGCCTGAACAACAACTAATTTTCTCACATCCATTCTCTAGCATCAACCACGACAATAAATAATTGCAGAATAATCATAAGAGCCTCGACCCGAGTATTCGAATGTTCGATCGCAGACCTTCTGTATTCGAATGTTCGATCGCAGACCTCCTGTATTCGAATGTTCGATCGCAGACCTCCTGTATTCGAATGTTCGATCGCAGACCTCCTGTATTCGAATGTTCTATTGTAGACCTCCTGTATTCGAATGTTCTATTGTAGACCTCCTGTATTCGAATGTTCTGTTGTAGACCTCCTGTATTCGCATAATCAATAGCAGAACTCCTGTATTAAAATACTCGAATACTAGTTTGAGATTAGGATACTCGCCATAGACTAGAAATGAAATAAAATGACACGGAGTTTAACGTTCTATTGTTCTGCTCCGAACTGGGCTAATGACGATGGGTATGACGATGGATGCCCGGACAGGGGCACTACGGCCTACTCTTATATCGAGTTCCAGCTGCAAAGAATTTTTACGTGCGATCTAATTTGTACACGGGCCTCGTTTTTTTTCCTATCCATTCGGACGACTAAACAGCCGCCTTTTCAGGTCCTCCGTCCTGGATGAATTTTCTCGGCCAATGCTAGCGAGCCAGCGTCTCGCCCATTTAGGCACAGTGGATCCACATAGACTAGAAACCAGCCAACCAATCATCGTGTAAACAAGAAATAGAATGGAACAAGATTTCCAGAAGTTAATTTGCTAGATAAGTATTATGGGATACCAACAATTGGCAGATTTAATTGGGACAGAGGAAACGGATCCTACTTATCATCGAGCATTTGTTGTCAATAGCGGCAACAGTATAGCAAGTAATGACAATATAGTAGTTGGAGGAGTCCAGAAGAAGCAGATAATACGAGTAATGTAAATGAGTAATGTAAATGAGTAATGTAAATGCGTCCATTCTAGATGATTATTAGGCTCATAAAAAACAATCCCGGCTTATTCCCTTTAAAGGCGCCTTTATTATATTACTAATTCCATATTTGGTGAATATCGAATAAGCAAGTTCGTGGTTCGTCGTTTCATTTGTACGTTGTACGACCATTGTTACTATGGCAACCAAAGTGTCAAATAAAGTAATTCAAAAGGCACAAGAGAGAGAGAGAGAGAAATGGGGTTTAACGTTCACTCGACACAAACTAGGTCATTTCGGGACTAACATATGGTTTAATTTTATTTACATAATTCGCTTGCGCGTAGGGGTCTTTAGCAGTGGGAGGAAACCTGAGGACCCGGAGAAAACCCACGAGGTTGGACAGGCGACCCTACTCCCAAAAGGCACAAAGATGCATTATGCAAGACCTAAATCTGGCTATTGCTCACCTTTCTTGCTTGGAATATTGCCAAACACGTAATCAACACTATAGGCCATGGGATGGTCGAGATATAATAATTTAATATTTAACGTTAAATACTCGAACCCTTTTCATAATCATCGTAGCTATGACATTTGAGAATCTCGACTATCTTACCTACATCTTCTCACACTCATAACATAGCTCAGAATAAAGCAATTCGACTGAAATGTTCAATATATTCATTTTTCGTTATATGTTTTTCAACTATAATAGCTCGAACGGCCAGCGCTTTGTGTTTCCGGATTGTGAAATTATTCACCAAAGCGCAATGCCATCTCCAATAATTATGAAAATCCATGACACGAATTAGCTTACAGTACGTTCTTAACAAATTTACTACGCTGTCACGGTGATCCTATACAGTTCCCAGTATGATCATTAGTGCACTTTCAATGCACCTACTACTGCTCTATGTGTGCTCTCAGTGCACCCAAGTCGCTACCGCAGCGCTATCACTACGCATTCAGCAATACGCTAACAACTCATTCATTGAACAGGTGCGCCGTGCATCCAAAATAGAGCCTTCTGCGACCAGGGCATCGGTCTATTCAAAACCCTATCACACTGCGTCCTAAAATGTATGAAATCATGCGGTAAAACGCAGTAACGTCTCTGAGAACGATTTGGAGAGGTAGTGGAAACCAACCATGACAGTGTATTAACGCAGTACAGTCACGGTCAAGGTAGCTCATGGCGACCTCCTCTCGGCCCGAGAGTTTCTACTGCGTCAACAGATCGTTCTTAGAGACCTAGCTGCACTTTGCCGTACGTTTTCAGGTCGTAA